AATACTTAATTTTTCAATCAAAAAATAATTCACATATGACCTTACATATATGACCACAAATTCATATAAGTTTCATCATTCTCATGTCAATTTCAAATCATCACACATTCCATTTATAAATCTTATTACAATGAAAACTTATAAAACATTCACTTGCTCAACGAAATTTTTGCTCTATCAATGAATTAATTAAGCTCATGTTGAAATTCACTCAGTTTGAATTCTATTGTTTAGCCAAAAGACTTAGCATAACAAGTAAATTTTGGCTCACTAAGCAAAAATTATGCTTGTCTAGCGAATGACCAATAAGAGATTTTATAAACACAATTTTATTAACCAAGAATATGACTCACCCAACGATTCTAAACACTTAAAAAATAAAAAGGAGATAATGGGGAGAGGTAGTGACATAAAAAAGTATAATATTTAATGGTCAAGTATTAATGCTATAAACAATAATAACAAAAGCTTTACCTTAAGACTTTTTAGGAAATGATGTCCTTATAATGAGAAAGAGGCTAATATTAACTATATGCCTATGTTTTCTTTTAATAAAGTCATTTTGGTGATGTGTGTGGATAAATGAGCCTATGTCTAATAATGTGAGTGTTGAGATATTTTGTAAGACATAAGAATTACTTAACATTATCCATTTGAATGACTTTTAATTTGTGATGATTTTGATGTTCAACAAATGTTTTAAAAATGATGAAAATTGTTGAAACTTGAGATTTAGAATGAAGAAGATAGATCCACATAAATTTATAACAAGCATATATAAAAGTTATGTAATATTTTGCACCGCTAGTACTAGGCATAGGGTAGGACCCAAATGTCAATGTAAACCAAATTTAAAGGAGTATTATCAGATTTGGAAAAGGGAAGCTTGTTCATTTTTGCTTGAACACAAATATCACAAAAGATATTAGAAATAACATTATCAATTTTTGCAACATGAATATAGTTTTCTTTCAACACTTTTTAAACAGTATGATAGGAAACATGTCCAAGGCGGGAATGTCATAAAGAAACTATACAATTTACAGAAGTGTGATTAACATTCAAAGTGAGAGAAGAGCGGAAAGGGTAAAAAACATATAATCCATCTTTTAGGAAGCATTTAAGCATGATCTACTTTTTGTCCTGAGTTTTAACATAGTAGACATTAGAATGAAATTCAAAATACACATGATTGTCTTAGGCAAATTTGGAAACACTGATTAAATTTTTTGAAATGAGGAACATGCACAAGGTTTTTAAAAAGAACTATTTATTTTAGGTAGGTTGTGAAAAATAGTAGAACCAATAAGAGAAATAGATATACCTGTTCCATTACCTAGAGTGACCAAGTGATTTTCATTGTAGGAACACTTAGTTGTAACATTATTAGAGTTGTGAGTTATATGGTGTGTAACACCAATATCTGGATACAAAAGATGATAATTTAGAGTGGAGAGTGTTCCCAGAATAGAAGGAGTATAATCATGAATTTTCAACGAATAAAGTTGAGATTGGTTAGCAAAAATGAAAGGTTGAAAGTCATGTTCAAATCTATGCCAACAATTTGTGGAATTATCACCAAGCTTGTTGCAAATTTGACATTGCTACCAAGAACTTCTTAGAGCATTCTTGGTGTTGTTGAAATGTTGATTAATGACAAATGACTTATTTTGGTTTGTAAGATTACGAAACTTTGTTTCTACAGTTGTTGTTGGAACTTAAGATGACAATGTTGTTGATAACAACAAAAATCAATGGTTTTGCATTTTTCAAGACGCTTTTCATGGGACAAGAGCAAGGCCTCTATTTCTACAATGGTGTAGGGATTTGGGCGGGTGAAAATAAAAGTGACGAAATTGTCAGTCTTCTGAAAGATTATCAAGAATTGCTTCAACATGGACTTTTATGAAGATAAGAGATCCAATGGCTACTAGAGAGTCAACAATCTTGATATCAAAAAGATAAGTAGCAACGTTTCTATATTTTTTAGGTATTCTAAGCCTAATCTTTAAAGATTTTATCTAAGCTTTAGATTAAGATGCATGGTAAACATGTAGCTTGTTCCAGATTTGGGAAGTAATAGTGAGGCTAACCATTTGAGTGAGAACATACATGTCTATAGAAGCAAGAAGCCAAACAACCAAGAGTTGATTTTGTTGCTCATATTGGAGATAAGCGATATTAACTATGTTGTGAAGAACATCATCAGGATTAAGGTATTTGGGTGGACTATCTTGACCATATAAGAATTTGAAAATTTGTAATCCTTTAATCGTGGCAAACACCTATTGCAACCATAGCAAGAAATCTTCAATGGTAAGTTTAAAGGAGATGAATGTGTTGAAAGTGTGAAGGTGGTAGGAGAAGGGATTAGTAGTGGTTTCATAATTGTTAATATAAGAAGAATTTTCAGAAATCATGAAAATAGCTATGATGATCATGTTAAGAAAAGAAATAGAGAGAGAGGTGGAAGAATACAAAATAACTATGAAAAGTATTTTGTAAAAAATTGTTAAGCTAAGAAAAAACACAAATATATGAAAAAAATAGGAGAAAAAAATAAGATAATAAATTTCTTTGTGTCGTGTTATCATACACTTTATATAGTAAAAGGAGTAAAATATTGTCTCTTGTAATCCTGCACTATTATTATTGTCACCATCGATATTGCATGTTTGATCTCCTTTTGTTATTAAAGTTATTGATAGAAAAAAAAAGAATGAAACGTGTTTGATGGAAATCTTGTTTTAAGAAGTTTGTTATGAAATGTATCATACATAATTTTAAAAACTTGTATTGAAAATCTTGTTCCAAAAATTCAGTTTTGAAACTCATTTCATTAAAGTTTGCTTTGGAAACCTTACCTTAAAAAGATTATTCCAAACATCACGTGATGTATTTCAAAACATTTGTTCCAAAATACACTGCGGTATGTTCTTGAAAACGCTGTCCCAAAAATTCTAAAAGGTTTGTTCCTGCATATTTCGAGAGCAGTTACTCCAAAAGTCACCTTTATAAAAAATAAAATGGTCATTTTCAAAATAGAGAATTGCATTTAGAAATTACGGAGATGACGAAAGAAAAATCCCAGCAAAATAAATACTCGAAGCCTATTGGGCCTTTATATGAGCCGTCGGATTTTTGCACGAAATGATCCCAACCGTGGGATTTAGGTTTCTCAAAAACCCTAATCTAATAAATCCACCCGCCCCTCTGTTGTCGTTATTTCGCTTCCGTTCCTTCCTCTCCCACTCTTCTGCACCTCACCTCAACGAAGCAGAGGTTAAAGCGACGGCACCGTTTTGCTGTCCGCTTGACTGAGCCAGAGCCCCTACTTGGCCCTCGTTTTTCCGCGCCGAACTTCCGGTCCACAGACATCGTCGTCGTAATCACAATCATCATCATCAATGCCGACACCCCGACACGAAACAAACCAAGCGAGAGAAGAAGATCGTTACGATGGTAAGTTGTGCCAGCTTCTGGAATAGCACGGCCAGATCCCTTTCCGTGTGTGAACGCCGACAAGTGGGATCCAACCAGCTCCAGAAACATTCTCAGGGTCTCGCCGGTGACTCTATCGTAATCATGGGGAAGAACACCATGATGAAGCGCTCGTCAGGATCACGCTGAGAAGACCGGCAACATGTCTATCCAGCCTCATTCTCTCCTGTCGTGAGTTTCCTTCCTCCTCAAACTGTTTAAGCTTTCGCCCTTGTGTTGTGTCTATGCGTGTTGTTGTTCTTCAATCAATTCAGTTTAGGTTTTGAATTGTTTTGGCTGAGAGGAGAGTGTGGTTTTTGCGTTTTTTAAATAGGGCAATGTTGGATTTATTTTCACCAAGAGGTGACCGTAAGGAGGCAGTGAGGAGGTGGGCCAGTAAAGTAAACTCAATATTTTTGCTTCTGTATTTTTTTTTTGTTTTTATTATAACTATTTTATGCAGTTCGGAGTTTAATAAGTTTTTTTCTGTTTTTTTTTATAAAACGTGATCCTTTTTAATTAGATGATCATATTGCTATTTTAGGGATTGGTGAGTCTCTTTAGGCTGAAAAATGAGTGACCTAAAACAGTACTATTAAAGTAAATGATACTGATTACTCTGCTCCTAATTACTCTGCGATTGCAAGTTGCGAATCACAAGTTTGATTTTTGTACAATTTAAATGCATAAGGTTGGATTTATTTATCCAAATATGTTGGTTACGACTGGAGGAATTGGTCATTACGCTTGGTTGTGTTCTTTTGTATTTAACCAAATGATACTTTTAGTTTTCTATTCTCAATTGTGTCAATGTAACCATGCACGTTCATATGAATGTTTCATTAAAACTGTGCTGTATTAATTGTGCACAGGTCGGAGCTCCTGCCCGTGTTGGTTTGGTTGCCCCAATTGATGTTCGTTGTTCCTCCTGGCAACACCGGTCTCGATCCATCTCAGACCTCGTTCTTCCAGGTGTGTAATTGTTTTATAAACTATTTTTATAAGGTAGAATTATGGTGAAAGTGCTAAAAAACCTTCACTTGTATACAACCAAAGTTATCTTTGAAGCTTTTTATTTAAAAAGACTGAGTAATCAATATTATTCTAAATACAGGTTTCACAAACTTATCCGGGAGTTAGCTTTGGTTAAAATATTAAGGTTTAAGCGTATTCCTCTTTATTTTAGGTGCTTACATTCCAACCAAGATTCAAAGGTAACTGTGGAAATCATTACCCCTGTTGAACTCATTAGGAAGGGAGAAAAGGTTGGATCTTCTGAAGCTGCTTTGCTTGCCAAGCTTGGCATTAGGCCTTTCTCTTATGGGCTTGTGGTCCTTTCTGTTTATGATAATGGCTCTGTGTTTAGTCCTGAGGTCCTTGATCTCACTGAGGATGACCTCCTTGAGAAATTTTGCTGCCGGTGTCTCCATGGTTACTTCTCTTTTTCGTTGGCTATCTCATACCCAACACTTGCGGCTGCACCACATATGTTTGTGAATGCCTACAAGAATGTTCTTGCCAGTTGCGGTTGAGACAGATTATTCTTTTCCCTGAGGCCGACAAGGTCAAGGAATATCTGAAGGTAATAATCTTGACATTTTTATTATCTGAAGCTATGCTATCCTCATCGTTTTATTTATGATTTTTTATTTTAAATGCAGGACCCAAGTAAATTTGCTGTAGCTGCTGTTGCTGCTTCCTGCCTGCTCTTCTGGGGCTCCATCTGCTGCGCTAAGGAAGAGGAAAAGAAGGAAGAGCCCGCAGAAGAATCTGATGATGACATGGGTTTTAGTCTGTTTGACTAATTATGTAATGTTAGTTGAGGTTGCTTTTCAGGTTTTTCCCATTTTGTTAGAATTGAGGAGTTGGTCTTTCGATTTAGTTATAGTTTGCTGTTTTTCCTTTTCAGTTTACATTGTACTTCGGCTTTTAACTATAAAATTTCACAGTTTTAATGTTTAGCATATCTGTGCATCGTTGCTATTTTAAATTTCCATACCTGCTATTTTAAAATTTGGCTCTTAGTTGTTAAGTTTGAGTTGAAAAAATATTAGAATTTATAAATAATTTCTCTTCTATTATTATCAACCAAATACAGGAGAGATTGATGAAATAAATTATATACTTTTAAAATCATACAATGAAATTAGCATTAACTCAACAAATTTTGAAGGAATGAAAGCATATTGAATATTTTACAGTAAACACAACTTATTCCCTAAAGTGAATATAACTGTAATTAGTACAGTACACTTCTATGGCACTCAGCAGACCATTCAGAAAGGATCGTATAGTTCGTATGAATCTATAAAATGAAAACGAATCTCTGGGTATTATGTTCATTTCTTTTTCTTCTGTGAATGTTCTCTTTCCATTTTTTCAAACAAGCTTCCATCGTAAACAGCTTGAATAGTCTCTCTGTGTAGTAAACCATTACTGTCTTTGCAGAGAACATAAAGGGCTTTCCACTCGGAGAAGCTGGCAAGCCTTACACCAAATTGTAACAAATAATGTAATTTAAACGTTTATTGTATTTACCTAGTTGTAAAGGGTTCAACTTGATTACAGGTTGCATGATATTTTTTGGTCATTTAGAGTATGTTGAACAGTGGGTTATTAATATACTGTTTTTATAAATGAAAAGTTTATTGGATACCAAAAGAAGAAGAAAATAATTTTTATACCATCCGCTATAGTCCTTGGGTTCTCTATTTGCCTTGAGCATCTCTCTCAATTCATCAGATGTTAGAGCATCTGGGTGTGTTCGTGCATGCTTCCTGAAAATTTCCTCAAATTTTGAAGGAACAAACCTAAAAAACACAACCTCCACTTAGTAATTTCAAAGTTTATAGGCAGTAAAATCAACATTTCTTTTGCTGTTTTCTGATAGATACTTAAATAAGAAATTGAAATAATATCACTTTTTTTTTTGTGTAGAAAGATTAAAAATCTGCACCTTCTTCACTATCATAGAACAACTAGATCATTCCATGTTTTTGCTTTCTGAATGTTTTTAACTTCAATTGGTAGCAGTGGAGAAGGAAATTTGCCCTACAACCAACTTAATGTCACTAAATTGTACCACAAATAAAGAAACTTATCAAAATCAATATTCAAACATAAAACCATTAATATAATAAAAATTATTTATAATTACATGAAAAATAAATTCATTTAAAATTATCCCAATATGATTTTCTTTCATTAAATCTTTATTATTTCTTTTTCATTCATAAAATTCTTATTGGAGACACTATTAAATACACAGTTGAATATCACCAAAACCAAATACTTATTGATACAACAAACAGTCTCTTGTATTTATAGTTTTCTTTTTTCCTCATCTAAAACAGATTACACAACTATTCAATGTTTTTTTATCATTTAAAAGTATAATTTGATTATTAAAAACCCGTGTTAAATAATTAAAATTTATTTCTAAATCATTTACTTTTTTCGTATATATAATAAATTTTCTATGTTTTTTGGAGAAAGCTTTCAAACGAAGCATATTCCATGGAATTAGAAAAAGATCATTAGCATCAGCATCAAGATAAAGTATAATTGATTGCGCCTTTACAGAAATAAAGTTTTATTCTACACGTACTTGAAAAAAATAAATATATTATCAATGACACGTTTATAAATTAATGATGCACGTATTCTTAAAATATAAATATTGTTTCTAAACTATTTATCTTAATTTATTAAAATATAAATCCTTATTCTCTAGTACATGTGATAGGAAAATTGTTTTCAAAATAAAATTTAATTATAATTTTGGTTTCTCTTTATCATTTTGAATTCTACTATCCGCGAATACGATCTGAAGTGTTTGTTAGTTTTTTTTTTCTCTTCTTTTAATTTTGTCTTTAAAAAATTTAATTAGATTTCAAGTATTTGATAAATTTAAATATTTTTAATATTATTTTTATTAATTTTTTTGATTGATTTTGTATTCAAAGTTTTTATTTTTTTAATTAAGTAAAATAATTGTTATTTTATTTATCATCTTATTTATTTGTCTTTAAAAATATGAGATTTTATTTGATTGATATCAAATTATGTTTTTGTTAATATAAATTAATAAATAAAAAATGTATTGTTCTAATTGAAAATATGGTAAATATCAATAAATATACTAGAAATTTTTTTCAATCACCATAAGTCATGATGAGGAAGTCATCAAATCATTGAAAAACATGACACCTTATTATTCAAGACATTTTAATTAGAGGAATGAAAATTACTAAACCCTAATATTGTTTTTATATTAATTATAAAACTAAATATTTATATATGCGAATAAATAAAAAATGAAAAAAATAACATAATAATTATAAAAAAAAAGAATAATAATTTAATTAAAAACACAAAAGTTTAAATATTTAATAAATTAAAAAAATTAAGAAAAACTCAATTAAAAATATCTAAACTTATCACAAAATTAAAATTTAATTAAATATTTAACTAAAGGATTAAAATTAGTATATTAGATATTTTAATGAGGAAACCTTAAATATCACCAAAAATTAATGAGAAAATTAAAATTTGAGAAAATACCGGGCGAGTTTTACTACTGAGACCAGCATTGATGAAAATAGCTGCAGCTGATGATAATAAATAGCCACAACCTATTGCACGAAATCCTGCAATTAAATCAAATTCACCAAAACTAAATTATATCCACTTATTTTTTAATTAACAAATACTATACTGGGTAGAAATAGTATTTTAATCTCTTTTTTTTTTTTTACATTTGTAAAATGGTTTTTGTTTCAATATATCAGCACCTTTTAAAATCATTGTAAACATGATTTATTTATAAGAGTTTGTTATTATGAATAAGATTTATTAAAATATAGATTCATAAACTGTTCAAAACTAAATAACTTTTATATTTACAAACTTCAAATAAAAAATAATGTTTGAATTCATAGTTTCGTTACAGATTTTCAATTATAATACATTATTTTACGACAAGGATTCAATATTTTGAGCATGGAAATAAAAATAGTTTGATAGATCTAACAAATCTTATTAAAATAAAGGGTACCTATTTTTTTAGTCCCCTAAACTATTGGCCGTTTCTGGTTTTCGTCCCTCTTCCAAAGTAAGTACAATTTGGTCCTCATTCTTTAAAAAACGTTCGTTTTAGTCCTCAAAATTTTGTTTTAGTCCTCGTTTAGTCCTCAAACGTTTCGTTTTTTCGACTAAAACGACGTTTTTTACAGATTTTCAGATTAAATTGACCATTACTTTAGAAGGGAGGACAATATTGACAGGAACACGGTCAAATAGTTTAGTACGTCTAACAACTTTACTAAAATAATAGGAAAACTGTAATAGTGGTCTTAGAATAATTCTAAGCTGAACATGTAAAATGATCATTGCGTTGATAAAAGATTACTTGGTTATAAGGAAATGAATGAAGATAATAATAGATGAGATAAATAACGACTTGACTTCAAACTTTTAAATATGTTTCTAAATTTTTATTCAGAATTTTTATATATTTTTATTTTAAAAACTTAAAAAAAATGAAAGGATAATTTTTTTTTAACCTAATTATTTAGATATTTTCTATTTCCAACCTATTTTATTGTAGCATTTGTTTACCTTTAAAATTTAATAATTAATATTTAATGATAAAAAAATCTGTTCTGAAAGCTTAACAGACAAAGGTTGTATCTCATACATGGGTTAGATCTAAACAGCATTTAGTTTTCATGAAAATATAACAAAAATGCAAAAAGAAAACAAATTTAAAAACCTTGAAAAGTTTCCCATGGGTAAATGATTCCATCGTTGTTTCTGTCAAAGAACTCAACGTGCTTTTGCAGAACATTCTGATCGTGTGGTATTGGTTTCTCATCAACTGCACATTAAACTCATGAATCATTTAAAAAAGTTGGCACAAACAAAACCTGGTGAATCAAGATCAGCCATAGAAAAATGGAGCTAACATGAACGAAACAACAAAAAGCTAAGTTTTTTTGATACCCTTTGGATTGTTGTTATGATCTGTGGAAGAAGATAAGGTAGCCATGGTTGTTTGATGAAAGGGAAGAGTAAGGAAAAGTAGTAAAATGAGTATGAACAATGAGGAAGAAGAAAGAATAAAAAGAGAAAGAAATTAACAAGTTTTTGAAGATGAAGATGAGATAATGAACAAATTCCGTGTGTGAAGTCTGTTTTATAAGTTTTGGGAAAAGAACTTTTGGTTGGGAGAGAAAGCAAGATGAGATTCCTTCATCTTCTTCACACGTAATCACTTTTAGGGTTTATTAAGTTCTCTAATTGATGAGTCTTAGTCCAAAATCTCAATATTTCAAATGTGAAAATTAAGTATGAATAGATAACGATGACAAAAAGGAGTACTTTGAAATCAATGAAAGGAGAATTTTTTGGTTAATTGCAAAAAGTGATGTGTGAAACGCATCAATAAATTGAGTTTTGTTGAAAAGAGTAGAAAACTTTCTTAAAATGTATATTTTCTTTTCTAGGTGATGAAGATTAATGCTGTTCTTATTACTCTTATTAATGTTTACTATGCAAAAAAATTAACATAATAAAAACAAGTGATACGTGGTTTAAAATTTAACATACGTGATTGGAAGGTAGGGTGGGGTGACGTGATGTACTAAACATGTTTAACATTTTTTATGATAATAAATAGATAATTTATATGATTATCGATATACTAATATTTATCCCAATTCACAATTTATTATTTTTAAGTCTATAATAATCAATAATTCGAAAAAAACTCTTACTTTTTAGTTTTATATTGACCTTTTTGCCTTTAGTTATTCGTGAAAAGCATTATTAAAGTTTTAGTTTTCACATTGCTTATTTTACCTTTCAACTTTACATTCTATTTTTTTAAAATGAATATTCTATTTTAATATACAACGTTAAATTGAAAAAAATAAAAATAAAACTTCTGAAAAGAGAAATATTAAGTTAATCATTTGTTTGTTTTTGGAT